GTACACCTCTTCTTGGTTGGTTTGGGATCAGGGCTTTTAGTCAACTCCCTTAGGTGAACTGCCAGTGGTCCACCAACCCGGTTATAGTCCCGGATATCGGTTTTCCGTCCTCTCACTTTCGTGCAAAAATACCTCCACTACGAGAAAGCAGTGAGTAGGACTTCCTCAGCAGATGCTATTTGAGACGCTTGGTCGTATGAGAGCATTTCACGAGGTGCAAGAGACGGGTGACCAGCCCTACAGTTAACCTAACCAAACTAACAAATGACAAGTAAAAACAGAATACGCCCAGGAGGGAAGTGGAAAGTGTTTGTTTTTCGAACCGTGTAACCGAGTGTCATACTAATCGCGTCCAGAATAGAACCGGTACTATCAACTGATGAATTAAGTGTTCATCACACGGTCAACAGAAGTGCAAATGTTGATTCTCGCATCTTCTTCACCATTCCATCGCGCGGAGAATGATGAGAACTTGTGATATGTTTTATTAATCACATTTTTTGTGTGAAGAACAGCTGATGGGGTGAACCCTTTAGGCTCGAAGACCGGCAATTCGGTAATGGAAACGGACGACCTAAACTCCGGGAGTTGGAATGGTGAACCACGTAAGGCCTCCCTAGATTAGGGGTGATACTAAAGGGGCTGACAGCAAAACTGCGTGTCACCAACAATAGGTGGCGGTGGTGGGGTTTGAAGCTTGGACCTTAGGGTCGAAGGCACGCCAGTGACAGCAACCAAACCTGTTTTCACTTGGCGAGGATGCTTTCACTGAACTGAAAGTGCAAGAAGCTAGTTCGATAACCGAGTTGCAGAGCCGTTGGAAGCAAGAGGAGTTGGTAATTTCAGATATGCTAACTGGCCCCAAGGGTCCTGTTAGTAGGCTGTTATTCAGCTCGGTTCTACGCCTACTGCAATGGGCCTCATGTGTTTCGCTAATGGGTCTCTGGAGTTGAGATGCTGGTTAAAATAAATGAAAAAATAGGTCCTCTTCTATTTTTCATCACACCAATGTATTCAGTGAAAACCAGCTGATTTGAGTCGCGAGGTATATAAGATACTGGGAAAGTGGGGCCTAAATCAAGGAGTGGGGGTGGGGTTCCGCCAAAAAGATGGGGACGTCGGTGGATCAAGAAGCCCGCCTCCCCCAACTAACTCGTGGATCAGATAGCTCTGTCGAAGTATTAGGTTATTGTTCCAAAATTTATCTGCTACAGCAGCCCACAACATTTTCATTGTCATAGAAAAGAACAGGAATCGAAATTTATTTTGCCTCAATTCCAATTATGTCCAAGATTGGAATCTGTCCCGTTTCGGTTTTGCGGTTAAAATGTTTCATTATAATATGCAATTTTTCCTAAACAATGAAACATCATCCACAGAACGTAATGCTACGGACGAAATTGTAATACAACTGTTACTGTTTCATAAACCTGAGATAAAGAGAAAGAGCTCTAAAGCAGAAAGAAAGAAACAGAATCGTTAAAATGACAGTAAGATGGATCCAAGTGATGTATACCTTTTGATTATGTTGCAACAGGTAGTTAACCATCACCGAACGAAGAATCATAGGTAGAGGTTTGTGAATAGGTAAAAATTATATGATATATATGTGGTTTAGGTTTAATAGCGAGCCCTATTTCGGATTGAAAGGTTACAATTGGGGTAGTTTACAATTCAGTACACTCTCACTCTCTTGTTCTCCATATATATCTATATAGTGTTCATTACGAAACCCTAAACTGTGGTCTGATGTATATCGGATACCTCGAATGAACTGTGAAAACACTTGCACGCAAGCATACACGTACAGATAAACACATCAACACTGTCACATAGATCACACTATGACACAGCATAATCCAGGGAAGAACGTGGTCAGCCACTTACCATGTGTCTTTACGGTGATGGATGAGACCAGATG